AAGGTCATTTTACTAATGTTACTATTTTGACCACCTCGGTGCTGGTACAATCTGCGTTGTATCCTCTTTATCTGCCAGATTGCAGTGAGTCAAGTCACCCGTCTTCTCCACCTGAAGGGAATTCAGGAGATTTAAAGGAGAAGGAAAAGCAGGAACCAGAACAACAGGAAGAGACTCCTCTCCCTCCTTCAGTCTATGGGGAATAAGAAAGAGATTTTTTCTAGTGAGGATAAGGATGGACCGGAGTCTTTTCCTCCCCCTATAGAAAAATTATTGTCCTCTTTTCCTTTATCCTTAAAGGAACCCGCATCTGTTGGCACCATTCAGGCAACAGTACCTCCCATCCCCCTTGAGGAGATTGGAGGCTGCCCAAGGGACGGTTCTTGGATGAGACCACCAGTCAGCAAACATCTATATGATCGGGTGGCCGCGTCTCCTTGACAAGATGCAGCAGTAACGAATGTTTGTTTCATTTTTCTAATAAAATGTTTAAAAACACCGTGGCTGGGAAACTTCAAAGCAGACCCTATGCTGCATGTCTGCTTCTCCCCTGAGCCTCTCTGCTTGGGGGTAGTAAAAATAATAAAAAGCCCAGTATATTTTCAGCATCTTACCTAACAGGGTTGGCTCCAAGCATAGGTGGTCTGGAGGATCCGGGAAGAGGTCTCCTCCCAGCCTGTTACCCTCTTGCCTCTTGCCTTTGCACTCACACATGCACTTTACCACCTGGATATTCTCTGGCCTCTTGCTGCCACTTGTAGTCTTCCTTCCTCTCAGGATAAGGGCAACAACAGGGGCAGGCTGTTAAAAATAGAGGCTGCCTAAAGAGCCAGGAGTAGATGAAAGGAAACTGACCACAGCCCTGTTTTCCCAAGCTCACATCTAAGACATTCCAGCTAAAGGCTAATGCAAGAAAATGGCCAACACCTGAACACATTTAAAACAGGATTTTGGTTTTTTTCCTTTTCTTATTTTTTATGCACTTAAGCTAACTCAATGCAGGTTTATTATTCTGGTAACTTACAGTCACATTCTAATAACTTTCAAGGGCCAAAATATGGTAAAAAATCACTTAAAATATCATCCCTTCCATGCCTCAGTTTAGCAGGTAGTCTTTATCTTTTGCCATTTCTGTATTTAATATGCTATTTAACCGTCTTATAATCCCTCTAAACACCTGCAAAACATCACGGATTTAATAGCTTCCCTTCTCATAAACAGGCACTGACGTTGTGTCCAATTATCAAGATATAACCCATTACTCTTTTCCTGTTAAGCAAGGAACAATTTCATACTCTCTTAGCTTTTAATCTTGATTGGCAAATGGCAATGGCTAACTTTACTGGTAATATCAGCTTTCACTTACCCGCCTCTAAGCTCCTGAACTTTTCACAAACTGTGCCTGTTATAATTTGTCTCTATTGTTGTCTCTGAGCCCTTGCTTCACGCCATTACTGTCTTTACAGATGGTTCAGACAAAACTGAAAAGCAGCTATAGTGTGGCAAAATGCCATGCAAAACTGGTGGCACAAAATCCAGGAACATTTTAAAACTATGCAACAGGCAGAGTTAGGTGCCCTAATATTGGCCTTACAAACTTTTCCTCACCAGGACATAAATATAATTAGTCATTCCACTTAAGCAGTGTGTAGTATTACTCATTTAGATCTTGTACAAGTGAAGGGCATTACTAAGGAATCTCTACTAGCTTTGTTTCTTGCAGTACAAGAGCTCCTCTGTGCCCATCGTCACCATCTTTACATCACCCATATTCGCCCTCATTCTAGGTTACCTGGTCCCTTTTCAACAGGAAACGCTTGAGCTGATGCTCTGGTATAACCACAAATGTGGTTTGCAGACTTCTCTGCATTTTTGTGAGCTCAAGCTGATCATATTTTTTTTTCATCAGAATGCTTGCAATCTTAAAACAAGTTTCATTTAACACTTGCTCAAGCTCACATGATTGTTAAAATTTGTCCTATTAGCCAACGGCATTCTCCCTCTCCTTTTCTCTTAGGACTTGGTGCCAACCCATGAGGTTTGGTGCCCAATGCTACCTGGCAAACTGGTGTTACTCAGTATCCACCCTTTGGATGTTTTAAGCTTTTCCACATTCTTATGGATGCTTACACAGGTTTAATACATGCTACCCACTGGACTAGAGAAAAAACTGAAGATGCAATTGCTCATTTGTTTAAATCTATTATAACTGTAGGACTTCCACAAACTATAAAAACTGATAATGGGCCTTACTATCTTAGTGCTCAATTTATATACACATTGCAACTTTAACACATACAACACAAAACTGGTATTCCCTATAACTTAGCCAGTCATGCCATTATTGAATAAACTCATCAAACTCTTAAAGTGTATTTTAATAAACAAAATAAGGGGGAATATGGGGATCTCTCCTCGAAAACATCCTGTCGTTGGAGAATCGACCGACAAGGACAGTGATGACTTTGAAGGCATCTGACATTACTTGAGGACAGCTAAAGAAATTGGATCAACAAGCAACTATCCAGCTTGCTGCCATGGAAGACCCCGCAACTGCAGAGAACCGGTTTCTTATGTATCTGGTGGTAATTGGGGAAACATCTGAGAAAGTGAGACAAACATGGATGTTAGGGTGACTGGCAATTCTTGTCCTTTGCCAAGTGGGGTCAGCTCAATAACATGTTTATTGGAGTCATGCTCTAAATCCCGCCGTTTTTAATGTTTTTACATGGTGGGATGCTGACCTGCCTTTGTCATCTAATAATATTTCTTGGACAGGAGGTCAATAGATTCTCCTGTCTTAACCCTTAATTGAAAATTTGAGGTGGATTAAACATAATAAATCCTTGACTTTATTGTCTAGTAATCCCTCTCTTTGTTTTTCCACAATAGCACATGATAAGTGTGTTACTCTTATTCCTCAGGAATATCTTTACTATCAGCCCCAAAGGGATGCTAAGCTTGCAAGTAGGACCTTTATTTCTGCTGTTACTACTAATCTTACTGAGGTCTCTAATGAAGCTACGCAAGTGTCTGATCTTCCTGTATGCTGTCCGAGTAGGGACTGAAGATCTAAGTTTGAGGCCATCTCTTAATCTCCATGTAGACAACCTGCGCCGTGCCAAGGGCCTCTGTTTGATAATGACACTTTACTTAATTGGGGTCCCCATGGTTATCTTATGTCTGCAAATCAGACTATTGGATTTGGGAGTCCATCCTATAGTTAAATAACCTGGTCAGAGTATGGGCTTTCAGGACCAACATTACAATTTAAAGGGAAACAAGCTTTAAGCCCTGCTGATACCCACATTTGGAGACCAGGTCTTCTGTTTTTGAAAGAGTTCTTTCACATGATGAGTACATTACTGGCGGTGGAAACTATACCCTATCTTTGCACAGTAATGTTACTAACACAGTCCTGATTTGTACTATGCACCTCTATATGCTTCTGTTTGGGCAAGGTGTTCCTAACATAGGGCAGAATCAATCCTGTATAGTAGAAAAAGTCTCTTCCAGTAGCTGATATGCTACATGCTTGTCTCAACAAAACATTACACAGTTAAATATAACCTATGTCATGACCTTAATTGGCGAGCAGAATTGTGGTTGCTTGTAAATTTAACCAGAAACTGGAACAAGATTCCACCTTGCAGTTATTTAGAAACGCACATCTGCAAGAAGCTTATCACAACCATTAGCCTTCTCAAATTTCCACTCGAGTATGAATTGAAGAAACACCTTGAAGAATGGTTGCAGCAATTACAAACAAGCATTCTTCAGCAAGTACAAGAAGGCTTTCAATGGTTAAAGCCGAACACTTGGTTGTCTGGGTTAAACATACACATTTGGGTGATGGCCGCTATACTTGTTCTTTTTTGTATCTATTTGATAGACATCTACAGATGGCTCTGTGCTGCCACCCGACACATCTATGACCAGAGAAGAATGATAGAAGCTTACCTTGCATTGGATGACTAGCATGCTCTAAGAATTAAAGAAGGGGGGGGGGGTGGCGCATGGCAACATATTCAAGCTTATGTACATGGCATTTGAGTTCAGGGCATGGAAAATTACTGAGGCACTGTGTATGTTATTTGTGCATGGGAATGAAACTCCTTGACCCTGAAAACAGCACAGGGAGTGGAGTGTGTGGTGTGATAAGGAACACTGAAAACAGCCTCCTGAGAATGCAGTTTGAGTGTGTCCAAGGTCACAGGTGCCTTAGCAACCCACCTCAAATGACCATCTAGTGGATGTTTATAGTTAATACAAGCCCTTTCAATAAATACTTGGTGGACAGATGCTGGAGCGGACTCTCTCGGAAGAGCTACCCCCAGCCCCGCTCAGCTGGAACTGTCTGAGTACTTCGTTCTTGGTGTTCACTGCAGGCTACAAGCTCTGCAAGAACCACTACCTTAAACATTTTAAGTGAAAACACACAACTGTATTTATTTTCCAATCTTTTGACACAGAGAGAGGACCTTTCTTGTCTGAGTCCACTGATTGGGCTCTTAAATAAATCACACCCATGGCAAATTGTCTACAATTTTCAATCTAAATTTATTAAAGAATTTGAAGATTTTTGCAAAAGGATTGTGGGGCAGAATCTGTCTAGATTCTAACAATTACCTCCCTGACATCTGACATGACTGCCATTTATCTTACTACAAAGCTATCCAAAGTGTTCAGCTCAGTTTTCATAAAGTCAACACTTTCCACTCTCTTTTTAGATCAGTTTGTGTAACTTAAATTAACTTAATACAACTACAAGATTAATCATTGGCTTGAAAGGGCTGGGGAATAAATGTAACTGCCCTTAGTGTACCTCCCAGCTAGTGGGAGCAGGCATGTTGGGCAGCCAGCAACTTGGCATGGGTGCTGGTCCCCACATTTTGCAGAGGGAATGGGTAGTATTAGTTAACCTGGGTAGCCAGGTAAAGGGAGACTGGTTAAAAGCATTTTGCAAAACTTGGCAACCGCTATTAATATTAGTCCCCGACTACGAACTCAAACCTTCCATGCCCACTAATCCAAATACTCAATTATAAGAAAGATTTCTTATTTTCATTCCACCCTCAGTAAGTATCACAGTGCCTGGCACAGAATAAGGGGATAATTGGAGGAATGTTTTGACATAGAGTCTAAATAACACTTCAGTCCCCAGTCCTGTATGCTAGTTTAAATATCCTTTCTTTTCTGTCTCCTCTGGATTTTTTTTTTTTAATTGTTTTTGTTTTGTTTCATTTTGTTTTGTTTTCTTTCTGTTTCTTGGTTTTGAAATCCTGCCCTTTGCTCAACCTTTCTTTTTATCCCTCATCTGTCCCTAACCCTGTAAGTGTCTTCTGCTGACAGGTCTAGTACACTGGCCCCTCATGCCCTTTCCCCTGACTTTCTTCCTCTGACTCTTCCCAGGCTCTCATACAAGTTAAGGGCACTTGGCAATTATCTCACAGAATGTAGCTGTCACCAGGACCTTTCTGGAGGCCCGGGGCCCTGTCCTTGTCATTTCACTCTCTTTCTAGCGCCTGGTGCTGGCCCATGGCACATGTTGTTTGCTTCCTGATGTCAAGGGCGGAGGTCAGGGTTGGTCAGCTCTGGATGTGTCTGAGGGGCTGCAGGGAAGGCCATGCTCAGGGCACAGGTAGATGACCAGTGTGTCTGTCTCATGAGTGGCAAAGTTTTTCCCTCTTGTTTTGACAGGTTTAAAAAGGCAAGTGGCAGAGCTTCCTCGGACAGACATAATATTGTGGCCAAAGCATGGTAAGAATTTGGTTATTGCCTCTAATTCCAGGAAGGTCAGCAATGACAGGATTGAACTTTCTAATCCAAGGAACACTTCTTTGCAGTAATAGCTAAGATTTACATAGAGCTATCTGTAACTTGTCTAATTGGGTTTGTGGGATGCAGGTCCTAAACTCCTGTGAGGCCCTTCACCAAACTTTAAATTGCTTCTGGGATTAAAAGTGGCCCCCAAACAACCAGAGTTCTAAATTGCTCCTTGGGCCCCTGATGGAATCTCTGGAGAGCAAGTCAGGGTGAAGGCACAGGGTGCTTGCCCTGAGCATGCAGGCAGGGCATGACCCCAGAATCAGCTGGAAGCAGCTCCTTGAGCTGTCCTTTCTGTCTGTATCTCACTGGGCATGGAGACGCCCAGGAAAGTGAGCGGCTAGAGCCCCTTCAGCTATGGCCAACCCCACATTCCCTTTACCTTGCTGTGAAGTGTGAAGAAATTGCTTAGTTCCAAGACACCTAAACAGAATTTGCTGCATGCTTCCAGGCACAGTCCCAACCAATGGGGCTAGTTGGAAATGGTCAATGTGGGCAGTTGGAACAATCATTCTGAAGCCTGGAGAACTTCCAGCATCATCCCCTGCTATGAGACCTTTTGTCCAGGTGAGTGCCTGTCCCCACCATGAACTTATCTCTACACTGCATGTAGACGGGATTCTCTCTGTGGCTAAACCTTCTTCAGGCAGGTAAGCAGAAGAGCAAAGGTTGTTGTGAGTGGGAACTTGGTCATAGCTTCCATAGGGTCTTTTACAGGAGAAAGGGAGCAGGGATATCCTGGGAGTCTAGGCAAGTGTGGGAATGGGGCAGAGTGGGGGGAGGAATGTGGAATAACATTACAAGCAAGTTTCTGAAACCTTTCTAGCAATCGAGGCCGTCCGACAAAGGAATGGAAGGTATCAGCTCCATGCACCTAAAGGTATTCCAAACAAAAATGGGAAAATTGTCTTGCATGGAAGGTATTCATGCAATGAAGGAAAGCAAGACAAGATCAGTTACTTTATAACATCTCTGCCAAATCTAAGATTTTCCAGTCAGCAGTGCTAGTATCTCTAAAGAGGATCTCTTTTCCCCACATATTCCTGATGTCCACGCTTACTCTCCTCTGGTAACTGCATGAGGATGGCTTCAAACTGGCTCAGTTTCTCCTACCTGATCTCCCCCAGCCAGCAACAGTGTGATAGTTACAGATGGAACGTGTGGTGCTCAGGGACACCATCCATCCCCACCCAAGCCCTGCCATGAGGCAGAGATCTTGGAGAAAGCGGTGACACCTCTACTCTTCATAAATATCCTAGGGAGACCCAGCAATCCCATTACTGGGTATATATCCAAAGGGTTATAAATCATTCTATTATAAAAACACATGCACATGTATGTTCATTGTGGCACTGTTTACAATAGCAAAGACCTGGAACCAACCCAAATGCCCATCGATGATAGACTGGACAAGGAAAATGTGGCACATATACAACATGGAATACTATGCAGCCATAAAAAACAATGAGTTCATGTCCTTTATAGGGACATGGATGAATATGGAAACCATCATTCTCAGCAAACTGACACAAGAACAGAAAAACAAACACCGCATGCTCTCACTCATAGGCGGGTGTTGAACAATGAGAACACATGGACATAGGGAGGGGAGCATCACACACTGGGGTCTGTTGTGGGGGGGATAGGGGAGGGACAGCAGGGGATAGGGAGGTTGGGGAGGGATAACATGGGGAGAAATGCCAGATATACGTGACAGGGGGATGGAGGCACATTGCCATGTATGTACCTATGCAACAATCCTGCATGTTCTGCACATGTACCCCAGAACCTAAAGTGCAATAAAATATATATTAAAAAAAACAAAAAACAAACAAAAATATCCTAGGGAGAGCGAGGATAACCAAGACTTCATAGTCAATTCTTTACTGCTTGGTAGTTCTACTCTGGCACAAATGGACCAGCAAGGATCTAATCAGAGTGGTAAGGAAAGGAGCCTTGTGGAGAAGGTGAGGAAGCACCTGGCCCTGTCCTTGCCGCCTGTGCTCCTTTCTGAGCTTCAGCTTCCTCATCTTAACATAAGAAGTCAGGGTTTGAGGTTTTCTCTAGTGTGCTGGCTCGATAGGTCTGCAGTGCCATTTTCAGCAATCCCTCTATAAGCTTGGGTGGAATTGCTCTTCCGTGGAGAAAGCATTACATGGCATTGCAGTGGTTTAATGGTCAGCTTGGATATAGAAGGTCCTGAGTTAGAAGCTGTGACATAAAACTGCTCCCAAAGCACAGAATCTACTCACAAAGTCACACTGGAAGGCACGAGGGACACTTGTCCTTGGATTCTATTCCTGCTCTTTCGTAGGTCTGGAGCAGACTGGGAAATGGCAGTACTGGGAACAAAGGCTGGTTAGAGGGGGATATGGAAGTTCTTCTGTTAGTGTCTCCAAGCTCTCTTGCTAAGAAACTCTTCATTGACAGGGCAACCAAGGGAGAGCCCCAGCCAAACTCACGAAAAATGAACTAGAAACCAGGAATCAAGTAACACATTTAAATGCTGGATAGACCCTAATCTTCCTGATCTGTGCTCATCACATACTCCCTGTGAGGGACTGTATGTGGGGCTGAATTAACATCAGAGAATTAGAGCCAGGGGAGTGGGTGGGATGATGTCAGCAGCCAGCATCACTGAATGTGACAGCCTAAAGCCCCCAAGGACACTGCAGGGACAATTCAGGGACAGGCAGGACTGGCAGAGGAGCCCACTTCTCTGGTCAGTGCTGGAACCATGCAGCATCCTCAAAGGTCCTCTTTTATGGTGTTTACGCAGATCCTTCCTTACATATCCCTTCCTTCAAGTGTGTTAATACCATTGATCTGATGAAAATTCTTTCATTTATCATGGTTTAATTAGATTTCCAGGGTCTGCTTCTCCTGCTTTTGATCTGACATGTCCTGACTTTTAAGGTAACTTCAGTAGGCAGTGAATTTTATCTGTTAGCTGCTGGTACTACAATTTGGCATCTCAAAGGGTAAATTGGATTATATGTTCTAGAAGCATCTCATTATAAATACCACATACTGATCTTTATAAACATGTTTGCTGTTCTCAGTTTTCTTGAGAGGAGAAGAGATAATTTAAAATGGAAGTGGCCAACCAATCCATTGTGGCAGAATTTGTCTTGCTTGGCCTGTCAGATCAGCCAAGGCTGGAGAAAACATTCTTTGTGCTCATCCTGCTGGTGTACCTGGTGATCCTTCTGGGCAACGGGGTCCTCATCCTGGTGACTGTATCCAACTCTCACCTGCACACGCCCATGTACTTCTTCCTGGGGAACCTTTCCTTCCTGGACATCTGCTACACAACCTCTTCCATTCCTCTGGTCCTGGATGGTTTTCTCACTCCCAGGAAAACCATCTCCTTCTCAGGCTGTGCAGTGCAGATGTTCCTCTCCTTCGCCATGGGAGCCACAGAGTGTTTGCTGCTGGGCATGATGGCGTTTGATCGCTACATGGCCATCTGCAACCCCCTTAGGTACCCAGCAGTCATGAGCAAAGCTGCCTACATGCCCATGGCTGCCAGCTCCTGGGTGGCTGGTGGAGCCAACTCCTTGGTGCAGGTCTCTCTTGCAGTACAGTTACCCTTCTGTGGGGACAATGTCATCAACCATTTCACCTGTGAGATCCTGGCAGTTCTGAAGTTGGCCTGTGCTGACATCTCCATCAATGTGATCAGCATGGGGGTGGCCAATGTGATCTTCCTGGGGTTCCCTGTCCTCTTCATCTTTATCTCCTACCTCTTCATACTCATCACCATCCTGAGGATCCCCTCAGCTGAAGGACAGCGAAAGGCCTTCTCCACTTGCTCTGCACATCTTACTGTGGTGGTCATTTTCTATGGGACTATTCTTTTCATGTATGCAAAGCCCAAGTCTAAGGACCCCCTGGGGGCAAACAAGAAGGATGTTTCAGACAAGCTTATCTCCCTCTTCTATGGGGTGGTGACCCCCATGCTCAACCCCATCATCTACAGCCTGAGGAATAAGGATGTGAAGGCTGCTGTGAGGAGCCTGCTGAGTCAGAAATGCTTCACTCAGCGATAGTGAGAGGAAGCGGTGTATCTTTTGGTTCTGTGCACACAAGAGGTTTACTCAGTAAGCATGGACTTGCTTAATGGTCCCGCACGACAGTTTCCAAACTGATGCTCATTGAGGTGGGGCAATTCTTGGGTAATAGAGGATGGGACACTAACTCTTTAGAATGCTAAATCACCTAGAACCAAGAATAAGACTATTGACTTAAGAATAATAACTATAAGAATAATGACTATTACATTTTATTTGTACTCTTATTCTGAAAAAAATAAGCAATAACAGTTAGAACTTTGTAAGACAAATACTTCTGTCTGTGTTCATGTGCAGACCAGTTTCAATTTGTATGTGACAACCAGGTTGTTTTCTGTTCTATTGTGTAGTGGGAGCATGACAGTGAGGAAAAGTCACTTTTTTTTTTTTTTTTGAGAAAACCATTTTTATCATCATCACCACCCAGGCTTATCTGTGCTGAATTATGTACCAAATGGCCAGATCTTCTAAAGAACATCTACATAACATTTCATGTTTCAAGAGATGAAAATAACTGTACAAGGTTAAGTACAAAAGTACACAGGACAGCAGACACACAAAAAATCCATGTATGAGATTTTATCCCACCTGCAGCTTTCATATATTTGAAAAGCAGAATTCATGAACTAAAAAATATTGTCCTTCTATAGTCCTGTCAAGTTTAATGGAAATGGGTTTAACCTGATTACAACACTAACACAAGTATCACTGATCTGATATTTATAAAAATTCATATATTTCAATAAATTAAAGTCAATGCAACACCCATGCAAGCTAGAATGCCAGCTGTTTGGTGAACAAGGACCTGATACCAGAACAAGAAGTTTATAAAGTCCCAAACTTTACAAGTACAATCTTTTTCAAACTGCATCCATTTCTCACATTGAAGATGTGAAAACCAAACCCATTCCTCTTTGTGTGTGGGTTTGTGATCTTGCCATTTCATACCGAGCATCTAAACTTCTAAATACTTCTTCCTGTTGCTTCAGAGGCTTGTAACTTTCTTTATCAACTGAGTTACATCCAGCTTCAGTTTCACTCTTTATACCCATCAATTTCCTAAATTTGACATTTTGGTCCTTGTTTCCAAAATTCAATTTTTCCCATATTTCAGCAGACTGGGATTTGTCCCCTTCTTTCTTGCCCTGCCAAAGCATTTTCCTTTTTGCTCTTGTTCAGAAAATTTCACTGGATTTACAGCTGCTAGGTTCTAGTAGCTAGGTACAGCTGTTCCTGTCTCTGCCACAGCTTTAGCTTGTCAGGCTGCCATCTGAGCTGCCATGTCTATCTGAGGTGTTACCTGTGTTCCTAATGCCAACAGGATGGCTTCATTGGGAATAGAACCCTCAGTTGCTGCAGCTGCTGCAGCTATTTCTTATTTTTGTTTTTCTACCATTTCCTTTTCTCACCGTTCTTGTAATTTCTTCACCCTTTCTAATCTCCTAGCTAAGCCTTCTTGTGCATCCATTGCTGCATTTCTGCCACTGAAGGGAGGTGGATTCGGAGTCTGGCTTAAACTTCTGCTAAATCTTCTTGGCTTTTCAGTTCTCTTCTTTGTCTCTTAACTCCTACTCCTTGTTCTACTCCTGCTTCTAGTCCTATGGCTGTGTCTCGATCTTGAGCAGGAATGAGACCTGACCTGCCGTTTTCTTTTCCTGTTTCTGAATCTTGATTTCTTCCTCTCTCTGCTTCTAGATCGAGACTTCTTCCACCCCCTACTCCTGGATTGAGACCTCTTCTGCTTCCTGCTTCTACTATGATGGAATCTTTCATGAGACCTAGATCTTGAGTAACTTCTGCCTCTTGATGACTTTCTTAGCATTTGTGCTTGTCCTCACCATTTTCACATAAATTTAGTTGCTCTCTTTCTTTATCAGAAGAATGTTCTTTGTCATTATGTTCCTCAGACTTGTGTTTCTTAGAGGATTTATCTTTGGATTCATGTTTTATTACTTCTTTGCTTCTGCTCTGGCTGCTGTGTTTTCTTCCTTCATTACCTGACTTTCGTTTTCTTTCTCTTGACCTTGATTGTGATGGTGAATAATGACATTTTGAGGCTCTAGGAGAAACAGATACAACTGACTGCTCTTTTTTCCCATCTCTATCTGGTGATGTCTTTTGTGGGGCTAGTCCATCTCATTCTGTATCACTAGCCACCACAATTTAGAGTCACAGCTGCTGCAGGGGCGCCTCCACTTGTTGCTTTCAACAGTCGGAAAAGTCACTTCTTAATTGGCATCCGAGTTAAAAACCAAAATGCTATTTTAGAAAATTACCGATACCGACCGGGCGCAGTGGCTCACACCTGTAATCCCAGCACTTTGGGAGGCCGAGGTGGGCGGATCATGAGATCAAGAGATTGAAACCATCCTGCCCAACATGGTGAAACCCCTCTCTACTAAAAAATACAAAAATTAGCTGGGCGTGGTGGCATGTGCCTGTAGTCCCAGCTATTCGGGAGGCTGAGGCAGGAGAATTGCTTGAACCTGGGAGGCAAAGGTTGCAGTGAGCCAAGATTGTGGCACTGCGCTCTAGCCTGGTGCCTGGCTACAGAGCAAGGCTCTGCCTCCAAAAAAAAATAATAATAATAATTACCTATACCAAGATGCATCCTGAATGACACCATTTAACTCCGCTTTGATGATAGGAGCTCAGAGTGTTATGTGTTTAATTTCCTGTTTAATATCCTAGAGACAATTTTGGATAACTCTTTCTCCTCTTAATATACATATAGCATGTCTATTTTCTGCCCAAAGTCACTGAAGACTTTGCTGCAACACCAGTCAAACCAGATAATACAGCCCAAGAAGAGAATCCTTAGCAGTGTTCCTCTAGATCAATCAGTGCTACAGTGGAAGTTTATATTCAGAGTCCCTTTTGTCTCTTTAGGATTTTAGACTGGATGCTGGCAATAATTGTTCAAACCAACTTACAATTACCCATCTGGTGAAGAACATGGACTTTGCAACCAGACTAACATGGAGTACCTCTGCCTGTGTAACTTCAGACCTGTTTTTAAAAAACTATTTAATATTGTGGAGCCTTAGTTTTCTAATTTGTAAGATGGAAATAATTAAACCAACCCCATAGAGGTGTTGTGAATATCAGTATGCGTATATGTTAAAAATGCACAGTGGCTAGCAAAAAGTAGCTCTCAATTAATAAGCGAACATTTTTATTATTTATGAAATATGTTAACTCCCCTAAGGAAGCCGCATGACACTTGAAGACAGACTATAATACCACACTTAACTGAATCAGTTCAGATTTATCATTGTAGCACATTCGGGGTGGCTTTCCAGCTTATGACCTAACCATTCCATTTCTCTGGGGATTGTCTCCAGCCATCTTTCACAGCGAGTCACTCATGTTTGCGCTGGGTGATTCTGTCCTATGTTTTTTTCTAGAAGTTTTATGGTTTTAGATTTTACATTTAGGTTTGTGATCCATTTTGAGTCTTTTTGGTATGGTATGAGGTAAGGTTCTCATTTTTTTTTTAGTATCCAATTGTTTCAGCATGTTTATAAAAAAGTAAAAATAAAATACTTAGGAGTAAATTAAATATGTACAAGTCCTCTACATTGAAAACTACTTATATTTAGACCTAAATAAATAAAAGATATATTATGCTAATTGATTGAAAGACTCAATAGGGACACATTGTAGTCAAACTGCTGAACTCAGCTCCCCCATTTAATCTATAGATTCAATGCAATGTTAATCATAATCCCTGTAGGACTTTTTTTGCAGAGAATAAAAATCTGATTCTAAAATTTACACAGAAATGCAAAGGAAATATGAAACAATCTTAGAAAGTTGTACCTGACCTTAAGACTTAATACAAAGCTATAAGAATCAAGCCTGTATGATACTAGCAAAAAACTGCAAATATATCAGAGGAATGGAACAGATAAATAGATCTACATTTATATGATCTTTGATTTTTTGACAAAGGTACCAAAGCCATTCAATGGGAGAAAGGAAGTTCTTTTCAATAAATGGTACTAAGATACCTAGATATCTACATTGGAAAAGATAAACTTCAATTGCATACACAAAAATTAATCCACTACAGATTGTAGACCTAAATAAAAGCTAAATCTATGAAGCTTTTACAATAAAACACAGAAAAATATCTTTGTGGCTGGGGGTAGGCAAAAGTTTCTTAGGGAGGATATGGAAAATAATAACCAAAAAAGAAGGAAATTGATAGAGTTGATCAAAATTAAAAACATCTGTTTAGCTCTCTCAGTGCCCCTCCACTCCCCATCATATGAGGACACAGCAAAAGGCAGCTGTCCACACACATGGAAGATAGTGCCCACAAGGAACGGAATTGGCTGGCAGCTTGGACTTCCTAGCCTTCAGAACTGAGAAAAATAAATCTGTTTTTTTTTTAATCTGTTTAGCAGAAAACACTATTAAGAAAGTGAATATGCAAGCCATAGGGAGAATATTCACAATATAATACCTGACAAAAGACTTGAATCCAAAATATATAATGAACTGCTACAACTCAATATTAAAAAACAATAAATAATAAATGATTTGAACAGATAATTCACAAAGAAGATATATGAATAGTCAATGGGCATATGCAAAAAAAAAGTGTTCAATGTCATTAGTTATTAGGAAAATACAAATTAAAACCACAGTGAGATACCATTACATATCAACCAGGGTGACTGAAATGGAAAACACTGACAATATCAAATGTTGGCAACTAGAGCTCTCACACATTATTGGCCGTGGTGTAAAACGATACAAACATTTTGGCAAAAAATTCGTCGATTTCTGATAAAACTAAGCAAAACCTATGGCATGACCCTGCAATCACGTTCTCAGATTATTTAGCCAAGAAAAATATATGACAAAAAGACTTGTATGAGAATATACATAATAGCTTTATTTATATCAGCCCAAACTGAAAACAGCCCAGATGTTTATTAATAAGGAAAATGGATAAACAAACTGGATGTTCAAACAATGGAATATTACTTAGTAATAAAAAGGAATTGCAGTGAATTCTTATAATTTTATGTTGTCTCAGCATCTATTTTAAATATATGTTTATCTTTCCCATACCAGAAACAGGGCTTAGCTCCTCATGATACAGTTTCCAATTCTCTGCCTTCTCCTAGTTCTTTAATGTGGTCAATCCAGATATCTTCTTTACATAGCTGCCTCCTGGTGACCACCTTCCCCATGGGATAACTAGATATAATCAACTTGACTTTCTCTGCTGCCCCGCACAACCTGCGTGGACTGCACAGAAATGCCACAGTAACCACATCTGTCACAGCGTGACTCCCTAGAACTTGTGCTTGCTTTCTCTAAACCCATCAACTAGAACTCCCCGTGGAAGGCCAGGCACGATGGCTCACATCTGTAATCCCAGCACTTTGGGAGGCCAAAGTGGGCAGATCACAAGGTCAGAAGATCAAGACCAACCTGGCCAACATGGTGAAACCTCGTCTCTGCTAAAAATACAAAAGTTAGCTGCGCGTGGTGGTGCGTGCCTGTAATCCCAGCTACTCGGGAAGCTGAGGCAGGAGAATCTCTTGATCCAGGGAGTCGGAGATTGCAGTGAGGTGAAACCAGCATGGGAATGACCTGGATACCAACAGGTACCTCACTTTCCCTCTCTTGCTTTCCACCCACTGGTTCAATGTGCATGTCCTGGATGGCTGCCTCTCTTCCTGTTGGCCTTATGAGGCTTGCTGCCCTCTCCTCTCTAGATCTGTAGTACACTGCTTCTGTTATTTCATGTGTTTTCCTGAGCTGCCTCCTCTCTGTCTCATTTGACTAACATAACTGAACCTAACTTCTTTCTAGGTCAGCGCTCTCCTAGAGAATCGCCATCTTGGTAGGAACAAGCTGGACACAGGTAAGACAAAACCTGTAAAAATCTGCCAGTATAAACAAGTTTCCTGTGAGAGGGACACTTGGTCGTCACAGGTTGGACACTTAGGTTTCGGACCATCGGCTAGGATAAAGAAGTATCCCATGAAAGGCGCACTGTAAACATTCATGACTGAATTCCTAGAGCTAGGGCTACAGTTTATACCCACACTCCTGAGAGAGATCTCAAGACCAAACTAGAGGAAAATAAAACAGGGATATTCTGCTAAATCATTTAACAACATGGATGAATCTCAGAAACATTCTGAATCAAGACTTGCATGAAAGAATATGAACAATCCTATTAATATGATGTTTCTGAAAAGGTAGACATAAATGAAAGTGAAAAATATTATAACAGCGGGGGTGTTCTGGGCAGAGTGGTATTGGGGATTCACTGGGAAGGAGCATGATAAAACCCTTTGTGTTGACAGAAATGTTCTACAGCTGGATTGGGTTTCAATTACGTGGGTCTGTACATTTGTCTAAACTCATCGGATGATGCACTTAAGAATTGCGCATTTCACTGTAAGTAAATTTTACCCCAAAAGTGGGTATCTATATATCTATCTAAATGCACAGACTTGTTATAATAACTGCCATTGGCAAGCCACACATTTGTCTAATAAGTTTTCTAGAAGTCTCAATACAAAAGGACTTTATTTTTGCTTGTTGCCTGTTCTTATGTATGGTTACCTTGCTCCTAAATAATAAACATCGCCTCTCTTCAGTAGGTCATCTGAGAGGGCCTGAGATTCTTTGTGCCTCTTGGACCCAGGGCAGAGATTGTTTTTCCAGGATGCCTTTCAGTCATAATTTTATCATATATTTATTAAGTTACTATTTATACATGCCACTGTCTCAATTGCTTTGGGAATTGATTAGCAACCATGACAGACAGCCTAAAACTAGTACACAAGGGTAAAGCATATTTCCCAAAGCATGTTTGGTCCTTGGAATGTCCTTGAGTGGTGACATGGCAGAACTTGAAGGACCCTTCATACTGCCTGGTGCACACCAGGCAGATGTCAAAGACTGAATAGATGGTCAGGAGGGAAGTCAATGAACATGCTATCCTGAAGGAAATGTTTCAGAGCTGGTAGAGTGTTCTAAGATCTCTGAGACCAAAAAAAAAAAAAAAAAAAAAACAAAAACAAAACAAACAAAAAAAAAAAACACACACACACAAAAACGGTAAAGATCTAAAATTTCTTTCTATAAAAGATAAGCAAAACTCCAGCTGATCTGTCAATATCTGACATATTTGTCCTAATTGGAACAAGCTTTTTACCAACTCAGGAAGCTTGCAGGGAACAATGATCTCCATCACTGTGGCTCCTAAGTGGAGAGAGAGAACAGAAGGATGTTTTTCAAAGCTCCATTACTTTACAGGGATCATCCAAGACATTAGAATTTACTGTGGACCCAAGGGGTATGATTGTAGAGCCTCCCAACAGTACTCACAGAATGAAAAAAGGAAGTGAGGAAGGAGCTAACCATAACAACAATTTGTTTTCAGTTCAAGAATGAGATATGGAGTACATGAAACTGAGCTCACTAGTCATCATTTTGATTCCTGCTCTTCCACCATGATCATAAAGACCAACTCTACTATGGAAAAATGAGGGACAGGGTTGAAAAAACGATTGAAAAATAATGCCACCACTGAGTTTCCAGACAGAATGAAAATAATGAATGCAGGTGAATTCTGGAGCATCATTTAGACAAACTAAGGGGGATTTGAACATCAAGATTCAAGTTCATAATTCAGCAGGAAGCCTATTGGCATTTCATCCTGGAAATGAATAACACCAGATCCCTGAGGCTGAAGAGAAAAAGAATTACAAACCACCTATGTGTGCACACACACATTATGCATATGAATGTGTGAATAGAACTATGCACATGGACACATCCAGAGAAAATAAATTACACAAGTTAATTTCCAGAGTTCAGAACAAAGCTGGATATCCCAGGAAAGGAAGCTTTTAAAGTTTAGAGGAGAGAGAGTTCCGTGGGCAGGAATTGCTATGAGAAATTTCCTAGAGGAGATGATTCTTTGCCAGGTAAGCCAAAGGGATCTCTGACACATTCACAGAAACACAGTGTTCACAGCAGGCAGTAGAAGGAGTGATGTGCCTAGTTCAGTGCCATATCTCCAGCGAAGCTGCACATATCTGCAGTGATTTATTGTTATTCTATCTCTAAAGGGCTGATACACAAAAGAGGAAGTGATCATGTTCCATGTAGCCAAAGGCTAAGCTAACACCCAGGATAGAGGTGCAGGGAAATAAGCAGACTGATCCAGAATGAGAATCTGACTCTGTCTTCTGGAAATAGGAAAGACTTTTGAGGAAGTAGAGGAATCCCTTTCACTGAACCACTATTTTCTAGATATTTCACCTCATTCTTTCCCTGGCTTCTTCCTCATAGTTTATAATCATCCTCCACATATTAGTTATTTATTGTTGCATAACAAGCTACTTCAAAACTAAGTGGATTGAAATAACATGTGTTGTCTCACAGTTTCTGTGGGTCAAGTTCTGATTACAGATTAACTGGATCCTTTGCTTCTGGGTCTTTCACAAGACTGCAACTAAGGTTTTGACTAGGGGTGGGATCTCATCTGAAGGTTCAATTGGGGAAAGGTTTACTTCCAAGCTTACTTAGATGGTTGGCAAGATTCAGTGCCTTGAGAGTTGTTGGGCTGAGGTCCTGCGTAAGTTGGCCAGAGACCTCTCTCAGTTCCTTGTCACATTTGTCTCTCCAATCTGGAAGTTTGTTTCACTAAAGTCAGTAAGTGAGTGTATTCTCTTGGTTAAATGCAAGTTACTCAAGGAGAGAGGATGACACAAAGCCATGAATACCATGAATACCAGGAGGCAAGGATCACTAGGGCCATGTTAGACGCTGCCTATCATACTCCAGATTCCACTAACATAGAATATCTTCTCTGAACTCTGTGCTATCCCTCATATTCCATGATGCTGTTCAAATGCCTTGTTGAGGTTGTGGAAGAAACAAGCAAGCCCAAGAGCTGTGCCAAGCTCTGTCCCTAAGATGGTCTTCTCCTTCCTCCCATCCCTTGCCTGTCTCTTCATGTGTTAATTCTCCCCCATTGTTCAAGGACTTGTCAGAAACTGACTCCCCATTGAAGTCTCCCCAGGGCTTTACATGGAAGTTCCTCCAAAATGTCCACAGCCATGCCCCTGAGCACTTGATTTGGAATTATTGTGCCCACAGCTGCTGATCCCATAGTGCATGGATGGAGGGCATTCCAAAATAACATTTAGCTCTCCAGCTTCTTTTTGAGAATTTTTAGCATTTTGAAGTTTGCAGAAGTTCAAAAAGGACATGCAAATGCTTTCTCTAATTTCCCTCAATGGTCTAAGTGTGGAAAGTTCCAACAGGAAAAAAGGAAGAAGGAAAAGAAGCCTTCCTGGAGTGCTTTTGGCATAATTGGATCTTGGGGACATTGTCTCAGAAGGATAAAAAGTTTCCTGACTTTGTACAATTCTACTTCCAAACTTTTAATCACTTCAGGGAGCATAATAGTCCCAATGGCAGCACTGATTTCAAATTGCCTTTTACGTGTTCTGGCTATTCATTCGGAAATTTTGCTTAAAACATAAAACCAAGACTGAGTAGGAAGAACTAGGTTTCACTCTTTTCTTCAAATCGTAGGTGGCCATCTCAACCCGAGTCTTTCAAGCTAGTGCTGCTATTTCTGGCCAACACGCCAGTCCTAAGCTATGGGCACATTTTCTCAGTAGGCTACTGACAAAGGTAAGTTAGGGTTCTTATAAGAGTAATACTTAAACTTTTTATTAGCGCAGTCACATTCCTAACTTCTGACTTGATTTTCCAGCTGGGTTGGGACTTGAGAAAGGAAGGAATGAAGCAATTTCAGCGCTATCACAAAGATTGAGGCCCATGTGAAACTCCTTCTTGGGTCAGAAAATCTAGACGGCAAGAAGCCTATGAAACTTTTCAGTCTTAGGTCATGGACTCACCTAACTTCAGAGACTCCCCCAGAAATAAGATGATCATATGGTTTCAGAGCCTCTTCTGTTGACTTTTCACAAACTCAGGTAATTCCACAAGAAGGTGAAACCACCACCATATGAATGAGAGAAACTCAGGAGGCTGCTGGCTTGGTTTAGAATAAAGAATGGTCTGACACTTCGGAGCTCTGTAAATAGGAAGCAGGCTGTTTGGGAATGTAGTGAGCTCTTCATCACTAGAAGAGATCAAGCTGAAAGCCCATGCATCAGTGTTCTGCAGAAAAGGACAGAGGTTGAGACCAGATTTATTTGGGGGGCATAATCAGTGTGGCGGTCTACATCTGGGTGACATACTTAGGTTCAAGAACTCTTAATTCCTGTGTGGACACTCACCTCAGTAGAATGATAAGAAAAAAAGCACTGCTTTAGTTACCAAAGAGAACTAGAGTCCCGGAAATTGTGAGCCACTATAGGTTTCTGGGGCCAGCCTTCTATTTATCTTCATGAAACATCAGATTCTAATATTAGGGACATATTGAAAATTCCAGAGCATGAAGTTACCTTGGAACCCTCTCCCCTTTCCCTTGCATCTCTCCTTTCCTGAAAGACCCAGCTGGGGCTAGTATTGCCCATGAGAAAGATCTTGGGCAACAACAGGAGTTTGCTTTATACAAAAATTGTCTAAAGAGAATAAGTAGTTATAAGGTGAGGATTCACAACTAATTAAGTCACTAGTATCTGGTACAAACTTGGGGGACCACGGAAACTTTAAGTCACTTTTCTGATCAAAGTTTAATGAGGTAAATTGCCATGTAGGATGTAGCACCCCTAAATGAATGTGTTATGTGTCTTTGTCACTGATCACGAGTTACACTATCAGAGTCATTTTAAACCTTGTGTATTTGGTGTCCTGTGGCCCCAAAATAATTTTTTATTTTGTTGTCTCTTTTTCTTGGAAATAAATAAATATCGTAGACTTTCAAAACTGTCTTTTAATCTCTTAGCCAGACTGAAACTCTAGACCAGATGCACTGCTCCTATGCAAGGCAAAGAATGTTGAGTTTGGACCTCTAAGTATTTCCTTCAGTTGACAGAGGAGATACACCATGGTAAATGCCAACTGGACAGCCTCTGTGACAGAGTTTGTTCTCCTGGGCCTCTCTGCTCACCCAAAGCTGGAAAAAATGTTCTTCATGCTCATCCTGCTGATGTACCTGGTGATCCTGCTGGGCAATGGGGTCCTTATCCTGGTGACTGTGTCCGATTCTCACCTGCACACACCCATGTACTTCTTCCTGGGGAACCTCTCCTTCCTGGACATCTGCTATACAACCTCCTCAGTCCCCCTTATCCTTGACAGCTTCCTGACCCCCAGAAAAACCATTCTTTTCTCAGCCTGCGTAGTGCAGATGTTCCTCTCCTTTGCCATGGGAGCCACAGAGTGTGTGCTCCTGAGCATGATGGCATTTGATCGCTATGTGGCCATCTGCAACCCCCTTAGGTACCCTGTGATCATGAACAAGGCTGCCTATGTGCCCATGGCTGCCAGCTCCTGGGTAGCTGGAAGCACTGCCTCCATGGTGCAGACATCCCTTGCAATGAGGCTGCCCTTCTGTGGAGACAACATCATCAACCATTTCACCTGTGAGATTCTGGCTGTCCTGAAGTTGGCCTGTGCTGATATCTCTGTCAATGTGATCAGTATGGGAGTGACCAATGTGATCTTCCTGGGGGTCCCAGTTCTGTTCATCTCTTTCTCCTATGTCTTCATCCTTGCCACCATCCTGAGGATCCCCTCAGTGGAGGGGAGGAGAAAGGCCTTCTCCACCTGCTCTGCCCACCTCACAGTCGTGGTCGTCTTCTATGGGACCATCCTCTTCATGTATGGGAAGCCCAAGTCTAAGGACCCGCTGGGGGCAGACAAGCAGGACCTTGCAGACAAACTCATCTCCCTCTTCTATGGGGTGGTGACCCCCATGCTCAACCCCATCATCTACAGCCTGAGGAACAAGGACGTGAAGGCTGCTGTGAGGAACCTGGTATTTCAGAAATGCTTTGCCCAGTGATGTCTGGGGGAACAGATGTCCACGTAGCTCTTTGCTTCTTGGCTGCTTTCACCCACAAATCTCAGAAGAGAATGTTTTCCAAAGAAGAGACATGTGAAGAGTGATTACCAGAAAATTGAAGTACTCATGTAATAGAGCACTTTAGCTGTGATTGAACCCAATGAAAATGTTGAAACCTAGAACCCAGGGGGAGTGTGGCTTGAGGGGATGGAAGCAGGATGCTGCTGGTTACACAGGAATGATTTTTTTTTGTTTCTCCACTGTTCAAGTCTGAATTCAACCTTTGTGAGCAGGTGGTTTCTCTGTTTTGGGAAAAACACCCTAGTGCACTTTTGTGTTACAAAAATGTAAAGCCCAGATCCTACTCTTGAAAGGAGGCACTGAAGACACCATGGGACCGAACTTAATGACCCTGCCCACTTCCTTAGCATAGTGCTTCCCAATCTTTGTCTTGCCATGGAGCACACAGAAAATAATGCATGTGACACCCTGGGGTGAGTGGATGAATCTATTCATGGCTGAAGGCAATTCACCTGGGGGCTTAGGTCACTACAGGTTCTGCTTAGTAATCCCAGGAAGACTCTGAGCTTGGCACATCTGTAGCCTATAACACATTAGCTGGAATGTTCTGCCTGAAGCAGAATGTGTCTTCCCTTAGCCCCTACTGAGAGGACAGTCATGCTCTCTCCTTTGGCCACAGATAATTGGATAGTTGACCCAAACTGGGCTAGTCATATTTTCTCTCCAAGGCATTTGGAATTTGGACATAGAGTCACCTCTCACTTGGCCCAAGGTTCTTGAACTGATAGACCATGTAAAGCTGTGATGAATGTGGCCCTGTATCTAGCAAGGAAGAGAAAGCTGTTCTGCAGAGAGAGAGATGATAAAGCAAATGTGCAAAGAGGACCAGACCTACGTGAAACAGAAATAAAGGCTGCAATACTTGGGCTAGGTACTAGGAACTTTTTTTAAATTTTATTTTATGGGATAATTTAATCCTGTAGAAAGGATAAAACTTAGGTATTCATCTTCTAGATCCAAAGATGATCTGCTCATGGCAGATCATGTGTGTGTGTGTGTGTGTGTGTGTGTAATCTTTAATTTTTAAAATTTTCCTGGGTACATAGCAGGTATATATATTCATGGAGTATATGGGATGTTGTGATACAGTCATACAATGTATAATAATAACATCAGGATAAATGGGGTTTCCATCACCTCAAGCATTTATCCTTTGTGTTACAAACAATCCAATTATACTCTTTAGTTATTTTTAAATGTACAGTTAAGTTCTTTGTTACTATAGTCACCCTGCTGTGCTGTCAAATACTAGATCTTATTCATTCTATTTTTTGTACCCATAAGCCATCTCTTCCCCTCTACCCTCTCACCACCATTCCCAGCCTCCAATAACTATCATTCTACTCTCCATCTCCATGGGTTCAATTGTTTTAACATTTACCTTCCACAAATAAGTGAGAACATGCAAAATTTGTCTTTCTGTGCTGCTTATGGCCAGTCTTGCTCTTCTGTAGCCCTGTGGATTATTTACCCTTCTCCTTTATCATTCTAAAGCAAATCCCAAATGATAATAGCATTCCATCTTGAAAGACTTTAGTATTTATATCCAAAAAAGATTAGTACTCATAAAAATATAAAGTCCCATTTAATATCTAACACATAAATAAATCCCCTAAAACTCAATAATTTCTTGATATCATCAATTATCCAACATTTATATTTCCAGAAATGTCTTATAAATTATTTATTTTAATTTTTAAATTGAACCAGGATCCAAATAACAGCATACACTGTGATTTGTCTCTGATATGGTTTGGCTGTGTCCCCACCCACATCTCATTTTGAATTGTAGTTCCCGTAATCTCCACGTATTGTGGGATGTCGTGAGAGGGACGTGGTTGGAGGTAATTTAATCATGGGAGTGGTTACCCTCATGCTGTTCTCATGATAGTGAATGAGTTCTCATGAGATCTGATGGTTTTATAAGGGCCTTTCCCCTCTTTTGCTTGACACTTCTCCTTGTTGCTACCATATGAAGAAGAACATATTTGCTTCCCCTTCTGCCAGGATTGTAAGTTTCCTGAAGCCTCTTCAGCCATACTGAACTGTGAGTCAATTAAACCTCTTTCCTTTATAAATTACGCAGTCTCAGGTATATCTTTACCAGCAGCGTGAGAATGGACTAATATAGCCTCTTTCAGTCTGTATTTCCCCCTCCCTTTTTCTATCTTTCCCTCTGCCTCTGTTCCTCCCACCACCACCCTGCTTTTAGGCTAGATTATTTTTTTGGAAGGAGTAGTTTTCCATAATGGGAAAGTATAAAGTTTACCATGGTCTGATTTTGCTGATTGCAGTTCTGTGGTGTCTGTCTTTGTGTTTCCCATAAATTGGTAATTATATCTAGTTACTTAACTTTTTTTGTGTGTGTGTGGCGTTATGAGCTCGTGGCTCCTGACACCTTCTGCATGAGAGTCAATTGTGAGAAAGGCCCTATTTTTATACTTTAAGGGAACATCTGTGACAATACAGAAAAAAACTTGTGCCTGTGAAACTTATATTCTAACAGGAGAGAAATAAGCAATAAACAATTACAAAAATACAAGATGTTAGAAATTTTATGGAATCAAGACTGAGGCATAAAGGATGACTGAACACATGCATCTAATTTCATTCCTCCTAAAAGCCATGAAAACTATAGTCTTCCTTTCTTTCTGATAAACTCTACAAGGTTAAGGAGAAGTAAGATATCAACAGTGAGAACACTGTGAAAGTTAGGAAGCAGATTAACTAGTGATAATTGCCGTAGCAGATCTGACAGAGCCAAATCCCAAGCCAGAAACTTGGAAAGCTAGGTGTCTTACTCCATTTTCTGCTGCTTTAACAGAATAGCTGAGACTGGGTAATTTATAAACAGTAGAAGTTTATTTGGCTCCCAGTTATGGAGGCTGTGAAGTCCAAGAGCATGGCACTGGCGTCTGGTAAAGGCCTTTGTGTTGCATCATCCCATGGCAGAAGGTGAAAGAGCAAGTAAGAACATAAAACAAGGAGAGAAAGGAGGCCAAACTCCTGCAATAACTCCCTCCTGCAATAGTGGCATTAATTCATTCATGAAGGCTGAGCTGTCTTGGCCTAATCACCTCTTGTAGGTTCCACCTCTCAGCACTGTTACCATGGGAATTAAATTTCACCATGAGTTTTTGAGGGGACATTTAAACCATAGTAATAGGCAACGACTAGATTTGTAGCACAGAGAAACTCACTGTACCAAGTACCTCTAGGACTGGGTGTAAGAAGTATTGCTAAAGAAGGAAGACTAGGTGACAAATGTATAAGAAACAGAGTCCCTATACCCCTTCATTCATTCCACAACATTAGTCAACTATTTCTTGCCCACCCCAACAAAAGTTTTATTCTCTGTAGAGGGTAAAATCATGGCTCTCTGGACTGGCAGACAACAGCCACGGTAGAGATGTACTTTAGTCTTTCATGGAGTAAAAAAACAATTAGCATAAAAGATCAACAATCAAAATGGCTTCTGGTTGTATCAGAATTACCTTCAAATTCCTAAGGAAGATGATTTCCAATAAGTTCCTAGAGTTCCACACACTATTGCGATGATTGATTAATTTTATGTGTTAACTTGACTGGGTGATGGGGTACCCAGATATTTGGCCAAGTATTATTCTGGAGATGTCTGTGAGGGAGTACCTTTTGAATGCATAGATTGAGTAAAGCAGATTGTCCTCCCTAATGTACTAAGCCTCATTCAATCAGCGAAAGGCTTGAATAGAACAAAAAGGATGAGTAAGAGGGAACTCCTCCTGCCTTTGAGCTGGGAAATTAGTTTTTTCAGCAGCTCTGCTGGGCCACCAGCCTGCTGACTACAAATCTTGTGACTTGTTAGCCTCCATAATCACATAAGCCAGTTCCTTATGACACACACATACATGATTAGTAATATTCCTCTGGAGAACCCTGGCTAATACACCCACCAAATTATCGGTCATGTAAGGAGGTTAAATAAAAATATGTTCAGACATATAAGATCTCAAAAATGTATATACAATACACTCTTTCTCAAGACATTATTCAAGGCTGAGTGCAGTGGCTCATGCACTTGGGGAGGCTGAGGTGGGTGGATCACCTGAGGTCAGCAGTTCGAGACCAGCCTGGCCAACATGGCAAAACCCCATCTCTACTAAAAACACAAAAATTAGGTGGATTGTGGTGGCATGTTCCTGTAATCTCAGCTGCTCAGAAGGCTGAGGCAGGGGAACCACTTGAACCCAGGAGGTGGAGGTTGCAGTGAGCCAATATTGTGCCACTGCGCTCCAGCCTAGGTGACAAGAGTAAGATTCAGTCTCAAAAGAAAAAAAAAGGAACTTACTCAAGAATGTGCTCTATCAAAATAAGAGATTAAACCAAGAAATAGAAAGAAATTGACGAAAGAAACAGAAGTTCCAACACATAAGAGAGGTGTAAGGAGTCCCCAGGACAGTAAAGGAGATCCTGGCATGACAGTTGTACACCCCGCAGAGAAGGCAGCCAGCCCAGAGGGCAGGCCTGTGGCTCCAGAGAAAGGCATGTCAAGGGCTCTCATTCGTAGACCCCTGCTGCCTATGGTGATTAACTTGAGGACAGAATGCTCCCCACAGCCTGGCCCACATTCTTTCCTGCACTGGCCTTATCTTGGCCATGCATGTATAAAATACCCTCTTATCTCTCCGTGTCTTGCTGACTGGGTTAGCAGAGGACATTCATTCCACTCCAGAGAGCATTCTGCTTTGATCTGTTCCCAAGAGTGGGAAGAGGGCCAGAGTCAGAGCTTAGAAGCGGAAAACATAAAACAATCCACTCTCTCTGATGATATTTCTGCCAGATGTCTGGTGCCTGGCCACACTACAGCACTGTCTGACTTACCCAGAAGGGACTATTAAAACTGAGAGCTTAGATTCTCGGGTGAGTCTTCCCCAAAATAG